TATATAAAATATGTACATACGTGCACGCATATAATTTACAAGTTTTCTTATGTAAATGTAGAAGTACAAAAATTAGAGATATACATAGACTATACAGAATAGACGTTACGATTCAAAAGGCTCTCTAATTTGTGTGAGTCGTTTTACGATCGTTTTGAATTTTTGTTTTACAATATATAATGATCAAATATCATGAAATATCATTCGATCGATAATGTCGGATCTGTGGATCCGGAAATTTCACACGCGATTTGATCCGATTGCACTCTGTAAAATAAATTTTCTAAGAAGAGAAGAAGTTTATAGGGATTTATTCTGTAAAAATCACTTAAAAATTGAAGCTCAAATTGTACTTTTTTGTCGAAGTGTTACGCAATTAGGAAAGAAAGATAAAGATTTCATGGCTTGATTGATGACTCATAGCAATAACAAATTCGACTCACACTACATATACTATCAATTTACTCTTTTCATCTACAAAATGATGAAATTTTTTTTTATTAAAATAGATTGCTTTTGTCGGTTATAGTAAATTTGAATTTATGTGCATTAAAACGGATTTAATTATCTGTCGTGATGTAATCCGCAAAATCACAGAATTTAGGATAATGACGAATTATTTTTATCATCCTTATTAACATCTTATTAATATCGTATTGAATTCCATTTTAATGTCATCCGTTAAATTGTAAAATATTGGATTACTTTTGCGCTCTGGTTATAACATAAATAGATATTAAGTAATGTATTCATCAATTGAAGAAATAGCACGTAACACAGGAGACTCGTAATTCAGAGGTCCCAAGTTTGATCCCACTCTAAGATAAGTGTGTTTTTTAAAACCAATTTAAAAATCTAATTCAGGTAAAATCACCATACACTAAGTATAGATATCTTATATAAACTATATACTAAGTGTAAATATCTTGTATAAAATAATTTCAGTTAAAAAATATAAGTCTTAAATATGAATCACTGTTTTTAAATCGTGTGAGAATCTATTAATATTGTAATAGTTAAAACCATGATTTAAATGTCATCTGCAAAATCATAGAATTTCGGATTGCAATGGATTACTTTTGTTGTCCTTTTAATATTGGCAGAGTCTAATTCATATTGCATTAAAATCAATGTAATTATAACTTATGAAGTTCTATAATTTTGAAGTGTTTTTATCACTGATGTTATCTAATTATTTTAAATTGAATTTAATACCTTATTTTTAGTGCAAAAATCTCGATTCGGATTACTTCTTTTTTAAAATTGGTTTTAATCAAATATTTTCGATAGTAGTCAAAGAAGATAAAATTATAGTGCTTTGAAAAAGTATAAAAAAGGGTTAGAATAAGAATATGCAATAAAAAATATAGACTTCTATTTAAAAAATTTAACTGACCTTGACCTTAGCGACACCATCCAAGACCAAAGTGATAAGTCTAGTAAATAGATATTTTTATATTCTATACAAGTTTTAAAATACTTTTTTGTAACTTACATTTTTTGAGATTTTTCAGGGTTTCCATACTTTTTCATTCCCCTATATTAATATGAATTTATATAATTAAATGCCTAAAATAGAATTAGAACAAATTTACTGTAAGAGATCCCAAAATTTCTATTTTTAAAAATTGAACTGTTTAATTTTATTTAAAAAACAATAAATAATATATAAAGAAATTTGTACAGTTTTTCAAGAAAATATTACAAAATTGAATTAATCATTATTTCAAAAACTAGTAATTTAACACGTTACAGAATAATTCCCTTTAATTCGTGTAATGTTTACAAGAATATCTGACATATATTCTTAATTATTATTGAAATGTAATTAAATCCGCATTTAAGCTGTTTTACCTGTTCTATAGATAAATATAAAAAAATTTCTGAAGTATAAATCACAAAGGAACTGGCAATATATATCACCATATATAGGTCATTTGACATACAGCAGCAACTTTTTAAGGGATAATTGTATGGAAAGATCTAGCATTCTCCTTTATATGTTAATTTATAATATTCTTAAGACTAATCTATACGTTAAACTCTAGTAATAGTCAAAACTTGTGACCCTCAGTTTTTAAAAGGCAATGGATTATATATATCCAAAGAATTAATATGTTATATTTATTAGGAAGTTATGGCAATTATGTAGGATTGTATTACTTTTTTTACTGATGCAACGAAATCATCGTACCTACCAAGTCTTGTCCTCAAATTAATTCCGACATTATCGAATACCATAATCGGACTTTGATTTTTCATCGCATGGGCCGTATTATTATTGCACATGAAATGTGTGTGTCATAATCGGTCGATTGATTAGCATGTCAGTGAAAAAATACATTCTGCATCTTCATTTACAGCGATAATTGTGCATCAACTTTGTGTATTTTATGGTAATTATTTATATACGACGTTTGATGTATAAATTAGTGTAGAAAAAGCGATAATGTTAAAAATATTCAAAATTTATGAATCATTTCTAAAAAGAAGTCGATAAATATTTTTATAATAAGAATATGAATTGCGCGAATGATAAAGAAATAAAAAGCGTTCCATGTTTTGCTAATAAGTGATTGATTTCGAAGTGATTGTATAGCGTTAAGCGTTTATAGTTTAGTTTAGTTCCATAGATTAATTTGTAATGTAAATTTTAAGAGAGAAAAATATTTAAAATATTCATAAAAGAGATTCAAGATGAATTTAATTACTTTAAAAGAGTAAATTTCATAGAAAGAGATATGTAACAGAACACATAATTTTGTTTCGCGTTTCAGTCAACCGCAATGACTCTTCTTAATTAAATCTATCTATCTATTTAGAAAGAAGATTTAATTGCATGTTGAAGTCGATTGCATTTCTCAAGTAACAATCTAAAAAAAAAAATAATCGTAAAATTTACCTGATTCATTCTAATTATTCATATCACAATTTACGTAAACGATGGTGCAGATCACTTTGGAGCTCATTCGTGCTTGACGATGAATTCAGTATAATAATTAACTGAATAACTAATAATTGGTTTGCGCGATTCAGTAATATACATACATACAATAAATTGCATCGTCAACAACATCGCGTGTATTATCTAAATGACCGTTAACAGTAAATAGGGTGCTCTTGCAGTGCGCATCTCCATGGGATTTTATCTTACTTTATATAGATTATATCTGCATTATTCTCTTCCCAACAATAAATACATCAAAGAAGGGCGGGCGTGACATAGAATTTTATATATGAGAAGATTTCAGATCATAATATCATTTGAGACTGTTTCGCAAGTCACTATTCCAATTACTTTTGAATGGAATGCGTTCTATTTCTACTTCCTGAGAGGATGCCACATAGCGATCGGACGCCGCAAGGCCATTAGCATTTGTCTCCAATGAACCAATGCTTTTCCCATCGAGGTAGATCCTATAATGATGTGCCCTACGGAGTATGTCTTTGGATTTGTTCCTTGTTCACCGTTCATTTCCGCCACTGTCAATCTCAATTGTATAGTCTGTGAAGAAAGACAATCATTTGATAAAGGTATTTTCAAAGAGACAGGATGTAATCAAGTACTTTAGATAGAAAATATAGATTTATTTTTACATGTAATATTCATTAAAATATTTAGTAAGAAAATTGATCTGCCAAATAAATATTATCAAATAGAAAATATTGTTATTAATCCGAAGTTTTCAGCTTTAGCGATTCGTATTTATAAACATTATTCTTTTTGGGAATTAAATCATATCTTTACTGTGATTGTTGTTATTGAAAAAAAAAAATAAAAATTTAATTAAAACCTGTAAAGTATGCGCTGGCACATTGAATATTATGGCCTCGTTGAAGATTGGACTTTTCTCGCCTTTTTTTACAGATGTCCTCTTTTTATGCATTTTTTTCCCTTGTTGAAGAAGATATACCTTAATAAAAAATATTATAATATTTTTAAAAATGTTTACCGAAATGCACACATATATAAATGCGATGTCTGAATTACCTTGACGAAGAAATCACCCGAAGATGAATTTGTGCCATGCAAGTTGCGCGCTTTAACTACTACAAGGGTGAGTCTCTCCGCTGTTGGCAAATAACTGAGAGAGAACATCAATTCTCCTAAATGGGGAGTGGGTAAGACAGATCCACTGAGTGCTAGCCAAGTTGTAGCTGGTGGTCTAGCTGCGGGTCCAAGTTTCAAATTGGCTTCGCCAATTAAAGATGCGCCGCCGCTGATATTAGATTCATCAGAAAATACCTGAATAATAAAAAAGAAAATTTTATTTGAATTCAAATCTCAAATCATCTAGATTAACATTTAATAGAAAAATTAATTGATTCGTTTACCTCAACAAGAAGTGTTTTGCCTATTGGGCCTTCATCGAGAGGAAATAAAAATTTCTCCTGATAACTAGGCGATGGACTTCCCCTATAAATTCTTGTTTGCACATGGGTCTGCCTATCGGGTAGTAGACATACTCTACAAAGAAAAAATAATGTTAGAAAATTTTCCAAGAACTCAATTAATTATTAATCAGTTGTCTCTAAATTAAGTTATTTATTTTTTTATTTTAAAAGAATTACAAATTTAATATAAATTTATAATTTAAATATGTCACAAAGAATATCGCAATACGGCGCGCAGTAATAAGAGATTCTATACTTACATACTAGAGTTTATATTGGATGAGTCAAGATGATACAATCGAACAAGAGATTATTTCACATGCAAAAATATGTCGAAAATGTAGAATAAAATGTTCATGATGCTTTGTTTTCGTGATAATTAAATTTTAATGCATTGTTCTATAATGTCTCATTTGGTACTTTATAGATACACTTACTACACCATAGCGGCGCTATACGGTACTACTTCTCGCGATCACATATTTTGGAGAAAACAATATCAGTTGATCCAGATTTTGATAAATTATATATATTTAATATATATTTTTATAAAAATTATATTTACACAAGTAAGAGATAAAGTCTACAATGGTCGAAGCTGTATCTTAGACGCTTAAATATTTCCATGTGAATTTATATACTACATATTAAGCCATTTGAACTGCGCGCCGAATTGATTTTTTAGAAACGCAACTAAACTACAGTAATAATATATTACAAATTATATTGATAAGCAATTTAATAATTTGATGTTCCATTAGGCATCCTATTAGAGAGATTTTAATGTGCTATAATTAAAAATAAATTTATTGCGAAAAATATTACCTCGGCCACAAGTCGAACCCGGATCTCTCAGCATTCCGTGCGAGCATTTTAAGCCTTTAGACCACCGAGGCTTTGGTAATATTCTTCGCAGTAATCGTAATGTAGGAACATACGCATTTTTCAAGTAGCGTGTATAGGTAAACAATAATGAACGATTAAGACTATAATGTAAATACACAAAACAAGTAAAAGATAAACCCTATAACGATCGAAGCTGCATCTTAGACCGTTATAGGTTTTAAGTCTTATGTGGAGTCCATTAGCAGTAGGGTCTTAAGTCATAGAAAATTGTCCGATCATCGTCGAATGTGTGAAGAATAATCATCTATGATTGATCAATTTTCTACGATTTAAGACCCCGCATTACTTGTTGTATATTCACGTTATACGGTCATAAATCGTTTGTTAAAATTTCTTTTAGTATACGGTAGAGGAGAGTTGCTGAATGCGTATTTATTTTTTATTATATTTTACATTTGGCATTGTTTTGTATGCGAACATTGGAAATTATAGCATAAAGTTTCGGACACTTATTATTGTTAATGTTTAACTTTCACATGTTTAACTTTCATGTTTTAATAACAAATTAATTTGTTAAATTTTTTTGTAACATACTATAAAAGATAGGTTAATCTTTTAAATTGTATTTCCTATGAAAGTTTTGAATTTATTAACAAAAATAATTAAAAGTGTAAGATTAATAAAAGAAATCATTAACTAATTAATACCTAATAATTAACTATAATCTCTAACTTTATAATTAATTTAAAAAGATCAAGTATTTTATAATTATTAAATAATAATAGTGAAAAGATAAATAACGTTAAAATAAAATTGACTGAAATATTTTGACTTAAAATATTTTTCGGCATTTGATATTTATATTTATATCAATTATTAATTTTATTATTGTTAATTATCAGTTTTATATATAATAGTAAGTATGTAATTATATGTAATAATACGATTTAGGAAATTTAATGTATTTTTTAAAAATATCGATTTAATTTTTATAATATGTATATACAATAAAAATATGTATAAACATGTATATACAATAAATAGAAAATATTCTGCAAAAAATTTTCTTTTATGAAAATACAAAAATTTATAATAAAATTGGATTATGTTATTATCAGCAACATAAGTTGATCAAAAATTAAATATTAGATATTCCTAGTTTTTTAAAACGTCGCTAACATCCATAAAACAAGATTATTATTTTCTTTCTATATTATTTATTTCTTATTTATTTTATATTATCGTTGTCAAATGTTGCTTATATTAAGTAATATAAAATATTGATGAGATAAGATTTAAGAGACCAATACGCATTCGTTAACTCTTCCCTACTAGTACGCAAAGAAAATGTTTACCTTACGAAAGTATCTTGCGCAGGAGAGCCGTCAGCGGCAACAAGATCTCTGGCTTCCAAGACGCTTACAGCCAGATCGCCTTCACAGTCGTTTCCACGACCACCCCATCTTTCGTATTCGAGTCCGACACAGATGTGACCTACGATGGGTGCTTCTTCCAAATCGTTTAAGTTGACGCTAGTATCGGAACATACGCTTTCACAACTGATAGCTCTTTTTAAAGTGGATTCATCAGGAGGTGGTTCTGGTTCGGGACCTAAAGAACTTCGACGATTTCCTGATCTGGCATTATTGTGATCGTTTATCGCATAACCCAAATATGACTCCTCCAGACTCTAAGAATCACAAATGATATACTTCTTATTTTATACTGTTTGTGAAGTAATTTGTAATGTTTTTGAAGAAAATGTATCATTGCCTGTGAAAGTCTTCTCTTCAATTGCACTTCCTCTAAAGCGACGTACAGTTCCTGGCTACTTCTTCTCCTACAAAAGCGGATTATGCAAACATACATACACACGTATACATACATTATAACGGGAATATATTTTGATTTTATAATGAAAGACATATTTAT